GCAAATGAAAAGGATACATTGAATTCTATGATATATATTTACATTAAGCAGGAAAAATTTATATAAGTCAGTAACGAAGATACTCATTTTCTTTTTAACCAGTAATTTAATTACTTGGTCGTGGCAGAATTTGTTTTTGTATTGAAAGTCTGTTAGTTCCGAGTTGTTCTTTTGTTCTAGTTCCAACACGATTATTTTGATGGTTTTTATGATAACAACATTTAAATAGTTGCAAAAACTTTTGACGATAAGATGGTGCTGAAATAAGATAAACATAAAAGTTGGATGCATAACTAATATATAAGAGAATATTTGTAATATTAGAAACTAATGTTTCTTGTGCTACACGATAAGCTGATTTTGGAACTGATGCTGTCAATGGTTGATAGATGCTCATTATTGCAAAAGGTGCTAATGGAATGACAATTACGATAATTTGTAAGAGTACCATTGAAGTTAAACCTCGTTGAAATGTGTCACGTAGTTGTTGACCCGTAGCTGAAGCAACATTTCGATATGTTAACCAACCAGTGATACCTAAGATGATACCAGGTAATATACCAGGAAGAATTGGTCGAAGAACCCAATTTTGATAAATAACAAAATCTGGATTAACAACAGAACATTTTCTAGTAATGACACCTGTACTACTTGTTGTTTCAGTAATTGTAGTATAAATTAGAATTGGTACATTGATACTTGTAATTACCACAATAGAAATCAAGAGAGCTATTTTTGCTGTAATTAATTTGCTTCGATTTCGCCAAACTGCACTTCGACAGGTAACAAAAAATCTGTCGATAGAAGCTAAACAGACACATGTTAACGAAATTAGAGTGACTGTAAAAGATACGAAAAAACGACTTTTACACCAAGCCATGATTGTTGATGATCCATCAACACTAAAACCAAGAGATAAAACTTTTTGAAGAAGAGCTTCTCCTAGAGTAATAATATTGAAAAATGATGCGATAAATAATAAATATGAACTTGGAATTGATCGAGTAGGATATAAGAGATAAATATTAACTATATTACCAGTTATACCAAAAAACGCTAAACCTAAACCAGCATAAATACCAAATAGAGTGCCTGTATTAGTAAACGAGCTTGTTGACATTCTGATGAATTTTTATTTCTATAGAAATACTGAAATATAATAAAATGATGTCTGTTTCGACACTTAAATACTACTATTTTATTGACGTCATAATATCCCAGTTTATCCGTTAAGATTAAATTTTAATTTGACATAAATATAAAATTTGCACTTCGAGTCTATAACTTTCCTATTAATAAATTTATACATATAGTTTAGGGCTATTTAAAACATAATTAAATTTGTTTTTCTTTTCTTTAATATTAAAAATGAATGGACAAAGCGGTGATGATATTTTATGTTATTATAAGATACCTCGTCAAACTCAATCAATGAACTAAATGTTTTGATATGTATAAACATTCAGGATTCCATCCATTTTATATTAATATTGAAATCAAGGATAAATCATCTAATTTGTTTGTTAGTTAAGTCTAACGAAGCATCTTATCACGATAAAAAATATTACCACTTGTTCCTTAATTTTTATTTCAATCATGTGATGAAATTCGGCTTTATTATAATTCTAGATCAATTTTTGGAGAATTGACAAAATACATCATCGTTTTCAATTCTATTCAATATTGAATAGAACACCTCGTTTTTCTTTCTTGTAAATGTATAAAAATAATATTTAGATATCTTGTTCGTTATTTATTAAATCGCTAAAAGATATATTTTTTTTAATTTAATTTTATAAAATAAAAGTAATGTCATGTTTTTTTTTACGTCGTTCATTAA